ACTGTTAAAATGTATTTGATGTCTGAATCATTCATTCAAGAGATTTGTTCAAAAACTTTGGACGAAACAAGTCATTTATAACAATCACCAATCCCCCCCCCCCTTCTTTTGGTCCGTTCTGCGATCCTTGCCTGTGAATGTTGGTTTAATAGAGATGAATATCACATTCTCTCTCTGCTGTAGGGAGAACAAGGGCTGAATGGACCCCCAGGTCAAACAGGACCCCCGGGGCCGATGGTGAGGCTCAATAACACTCCTCATGCACTGATCTTTAATATGACGTCAGACTGATGATTGCATTACATGTGCGCAGGGTCCCGCTGGACTGGCAGGACTGAAGGGAGATCCGGGCAAGAAAGGAGAGAAAGTACATCACCACACACACACACACACACACGCACACACACACAGAGTACATGCTCATGATTTCATTATGTGTGTGTGTCAGGGTCATGGCGGTCTGATCGGTTTGATTGGGCCACCGGGTGAGTTCGGAGAGAAAGGTGATCGAGGACTGCCGGGAAACCAGGGGCTGCAGGGAGTCAAAGGAGACGAGGTGAACACACACACACACTCATATAGACACACATTCACACACACATTAAGAAGCTGATTTAATCGCGTTTCTGCTGACAGGGACCATTCGGACCTGCAGGACTCAGTGGACCTCCCGGATTACCAGGACTGTCTGTGAGTCTCGTGACACTTTAATCTTCGCAAACATCAAACCCATCATGGTCTTCTGGATGTGTTTGAGTTTGTTCTGGTCTCACAGCTTCTGTCTGTAACACTGTGTTTCAGGGATCCATGGGACAGAAAGGATCTAAAGGAAACCAGGTGAAACACACTGATTTTTACTTGAATTCATAATGACATGCTGACCATTTGACTTGAGATGTGTTAGCATGAACGTGTTCCTGTATATGCATTTAGCAGATACTTTTATTCACAGTGACTTAGAAAGGAGGAACATAAGCAATTTGTCACTGAGCCAAGTATTCACAGTGCACAATGCCAGGTTTAATAGAAAGCTAGATTAGGAAACAAGCTAGGGAAGAGGTGAAATGCAAAGGTTAAGTGCTTGAGGGTGTCTTCAGAAGTCACAATGAGCTCAGCGGTTCACATGGAGATTGGCAGCTCATTTCACACCAGAGAGCGTGAAGGGTCTGGAAAGTCCAAGGCTGTGTTTACACTGGCACAAAAATCAGATTTTCTGCTCACATCTGACACAGACTGGAATTTGTTGCACACATGTAAACACAAAAATCTGCACGAGATCTGATTCTTTTGCAGCCGATCTGGGCCACTTCCAAATGTGGATTTTAATCAGATACATATCTGATATCTGACATGTTTGCCATAAAGTTAGCATTTTAATGCTGGCGTGCTGTATATGCGCTTGCATTTTATTTAGGCAGAAACTTTATATGTAAGAAATTGCGCAACATTCAGGAGCTGGTTTTCAACCTCTGCCCCGTGACTTTTATAAATACAATAG